TCCTCAAAAATTATCAACTAAATTTTTTTGGAAGAATCTCAATGGGAAACCATCCGATCTTGGTGATTTATCACCTCTAGTGCAAAGACTGCTTTCTAAAGTTCCTCTATAGAGACTTCCCTCTCTAATCGAGAAGCTAAATTGGCAGGCAAAACTTTAAAGGGAATGTGTTCCATTAGGGGAGTGAAACGCTCTTCAAAAGTAAAAGCTCTACGAAAATGATAGATAATAGCTCGGTTTAGAGCATTTTCATCCTTCGCATTGACCCCGAAATCATTAAACCATAAATATCGTTTTGCCTCTTACGAACACTAGAAATTGCATGAAAATACCTTGTGTTTAAATCACCTTCTTTCAGCCATTACTCTTTATCTGTCTCCAATAGATTTACAAAGATCATTCAAAAGTTTCATTTTCTCATTTCGAGCAACAATAATATCTTTCATAATCACACCTTCAGCCTAGACAGATTGATTAAGACTTTGGATATCTACCAAAGTACTATCAATTTTGGCTCTAATGACTATTTTCCTTCTTCCAAGTAATCAGTTTATGCTTAACATTAAGCAATTTCTTCTAACCACGCTATTTCCTTCCAAAAAGGTTTTGGTCTACCAATAATATTACTAGAGTTAAGCAATAGATGAATGTGATTCGAAGAGAGTCTAGGTAGAGCTTTAATTGAAACCAAAGAAAACACTTCCATACATTCATTAGAGGCTAAAAGCCTATGAATCTTAGTCATGATCAGGTCATGTAAATCTGTGTTCTTGTAGTATCTGTTTCATATTTTATTTCTCGTACTTTATTTGTCAAAAATCAACCCATAGGGTTTAAAGCTTCTACTGATAACAAATAGTATAAGAGCCAGGTTTGGGATTTTCAGTATGGTGGTAAAAGTTTCGAATGCAAGGTTCGAGGTGGAGAAATTTGATGGCAAATACTTTTTTTTAGCAAGAACGATGAAGAATTTATTTGGCAAAAAATAAAAAATTTATAAACCTATCAAATTGATGTTGGCATAGTAAGCATGTGATTTTGATATCAAGGTAGAGATTGTTGGATTTGATGCTATGCAAAATTACCCACATAAAAAAATCCCATATTATATGGGATTGAGACTGATATTGAAAAGCTTCCTAAAAAAAATAGAAATCCACAAAGATCAGGGCTCTTAGATATATCTCTTGATTATTTATATGGAGGATACTACAAAACACCTATAGGCGAAAATGAACAGTGATTTCGGCTACCATCGTCACCGTCCAAAGTTCGTCATACAGTCACGATTGTCCGGTAGTGTTTTATTTTTTATTTTTTATATAAATTAGAATAACTTGAAATTTGGAGTGTGTATTCATAAAAAATAAGCGAATCTACGAAAAATATCAAAAAAATATTTTACATGAAAAAAATTGACCAAAATATCCTTGAAAAGTTTCAAAGGTATTTTGGTCAATTTTGTTTTCACGAATTATAGTTTTTATATTTTTATTAAGTACTCCTCACTAAGATGTACACACGCTCCAAATTTTAGGTCATTTTGATTTGTAAAAAAATAAAATAAAACACTACCGGATAATCGTGATCATGCGATAAACTTTGGACGGTGATGAAGGTAGGCAAAATCATTATTCATTTTCCCCTATGGGCGCTGGGAGGACTTTTCCATTTTAGATATATGTAACATCGATAGGAAGTTTCCTATTTAATATAGACTCTTAATCTTATATATATGGGGGATGAAAGTGCAGAGAATTTGTGTGCCTTAATTGAGTCACCATATGGGAAAGATGACTTCCTCTAGAGCGAGAGGGATGGTAAGGCCTCATATGCAAAAGATGCAAGGTTTCCTCTTAGAAAGATGGGAGCTTCCTATAAAGAGAAACATTATGATGGTGCCTCTGGTAGACTCTGAATATTGACAGGCTTGTGTCTTGTAGAGAAGTGGTTCCCATTGAGATTTTGGTTAGTTTTCCCTTTTTAGTTAGAGAAAATGAGCTTCTTATAGCGAGAAACATTGCGATAGTGCCTCTTGTAGACTCCGAATATTGACAGGTTTGTTTCTTATAGAGAAGCGGTTCTCATTGAGATTTTGGTTAGTTTCCCTTTTTAGTTAGAGAGAAAGTCATTTTCTCGTTACTCTCATGTCTCTATCTGGTGTTGTCGATAATGGTCGCAAAAAGTAAAGAGAATGAAGGGAAAGTAGTTTAAAAGGATTAACTCGACTGGGTTTTTTCGAGTATTAGAGATGCAACTCTCTATTCGAAAATCTTTGATGTAAATCTTTGTGTTCTTGTAGTATGTGTTTCATGCTTTATTTCTCATATTTTATTTGCTAAAAATCAACCCATTGGATTTAGGGCTTCGGCATGTGAATAGAAATAATATGAGTGATGTTGTGCTTTTTTTTTTTTGCAAAGTCCGGGTTCTCCCAGAGCTTGAGTCCCATGTGAATAGAAATACTATGAGTGATGTTGTGCTTTTTTTTTTTTTTGCAAAGTCCGGGTTCTCCCAGAGCTTGAGTCCCTTGAACCAATATGGAAAAGTGAGTATAGACCTTTGTCCAAATGGGCTACGCTATACACATTTTGAGGCTGGTTTTTTATACTTATAGAGCTCGTTTTATGGTAAACCTCATCAGCCTTCTTTTTTTTTTCTTTTGTAATCAGCCTTGTTCTTTTCTACCAACATCTTTTGAAACTGTACATTTTACTCACTGTACACCATACTCAATTTGGGCATAGATATGGCGGCCCACATAACGGCTACTTTTCATTTGATTCACTTATTGTGGTACATTCCCATGTTGGGTTCATTTAGTGCAAGAGCCCAATTACATGTATGTATGTGCCCCATTTTAAATGGCTGAAGCGATGGAGTCATTTGTTAGTAAATAAAAATAATTTTTTGTCTTTTTGGGGCAATTTTTGGTTAGTTGGATCACAAGCCATGAATATAGGAGCGAAGTAAGGTGAGCTGTTTTTTACTTTCAAATGGGTGGTGGGGAAGAAGCGGTCCTATTGCTAAAATTTGGTCCCACCCAAATGCGCTCCGAACTTATTCAACAACTTGACCATCCAAATGGCAATTGATGCCCCTACACTTGATACCCAAACATCACAACTCTGTCCTTCAAACCCCGAATGCAAGGTAAAAACACCACAGGCAATGCAACGCTAAGGGTGGCAATGGGCCGCGTGGCCCGGCCTGGCCTGGGCCATAAAAATGTGGCCCGAGGGCCATGCTAGGCCAGGGCCAGCCCAGTTTAACCTAGCCCAGCCCAGCCCTTATTTTTTGAGGTTTTTTTATTTTTATTTCGCCCAGCTTGGCCTGGGGCTAGGCGCTCTTTGGCCCTATCCGGGGCCAGGCCAGTCTAAGCCGGGTCAATTGCCAGCCCTAGGCAACACAAAGACTTCGTTAAGTTTTTGTTCGGTAGAGGGCCGAAATCCCCACTTGAATCTATCACCCTAAACACTCCACCGTAAATAATCAGATATAAATAAAGGACTTCATTGAAGATTTTTACTTTCTATCATAAAACACTGTACAGGAGGGGGCATTCCGATTACCTGCCCATTCGTAGAAGTAACTAGCGAGACATTGGTCTGCTGACAACGATCAACACAATCTAAACAATATTGAATCCGCACTTCCCTAAGAAATTGGGCAGTGGTTAGCAGTGGAGATTAACAATGCCATATCTCAAGCTCGATTCCTATCCTTGAACTAGCCAAAAAGAAAAAACCACATAAAAAAAACCCCTTCCCAAATACTACAGCCTAAGGTTCCATTCTCCGCTTGCCAGTGAGCCCACTGTGCTTCATTGTAAATGGTTCAGTACAAAAGAAAAGAGCTCCTGAGGCTTTCTGGTTTTTGTACTGTAAATTTGAATAGGACTGATCTTTTCAGTACCCACCCATTTGTTAGAAAAAAGCAACCGCATATTCTTAACCATGTGCTATATATAATGCATTTTAAGCTCTTCCCAAACACAGCATGAGCCTTGCCAAATCACAAGTATGGCCCTTTTTTTTATTTTTTTAATAAATAGACCATCATTTTGTTTATAAGATTTTCTTTATAAAACTGAAATGACTTTGTTTTGTAAGATTGTGAACCAAAAGAAACTTGAAACTCTGTCTCAGTCATGTGATCGTCTTGGCCACTAACCAGCACCCCAATTACATTCATATTCCTCGAGGATCATAGAATCAAATGCTTCTATGTTGTTGACATTTGGTTTTTGTAGTTTAAATTGTTTTCCTTCTTCATCCAGGTATTGGTTTCTTAATGAGAATTACTTTATAAGAGTTGTTTCCTTACATGTGTCAATAAAATTGAATAACCGTCTCCAACTTGGGGCCCTCTTCTGTCTCAACATTGATGTGATGGGCTTCCATATTTCCCCATTTCATTTGATTTCCTCCTCTAGAGGACAAATAACTGACTTCCATAATTCACCTCCAATTCAGAAACAAGCGTTTTGCTCTGAAAACTTAAAAAGATAACGAAATTTTTCGGCAGATTGGACTGTAAACGTTACTAAGCATCTATGTTAGAAAGACAGATAATAAAATTGGCTTTATAAACATGACACATCCAAACACTAACTTTAAAATGAATAAGTGGGAGTAAGTGGGATTTTAGTGTTAAGACGGCTGTCGTGTCAGTTGACACAAAAAAAAAAACCATTAATACGCATGCCCGTGTTATATGTAAGCACATATTCAAGCATGATGCAAAAGTTTGTACATATGAACCTTAACGGGAAGGACCTGCATATTCAAGCATGTAAGAAAAATCTTTGTACATATGAACCTTAACGGGAAGGACCTGCATCGAGGGTAAAATGGCACATAGCTCAGGTGGTGAGACTGAAATCTCATATTTAGTATCTCACATTGGACGTGAATGAAAAGTGGAGGGCGCACAGAGAGAGAGAGAGAGAGAGCGAGAGAGAGAGATTCTCCCAAACCATTTGACAAGAATCAAGAACACCCCAAAAGCTATAAATATTCTCCATGAGCAAGAATCACCTGAACCATTCGATAAGAATCAAGAACACCCCAAAAGCTATAAACATATCTCCATTATGAACTAAACACCACTACGTCATGTATTAGAAATAGGACTAATGTAAACCATGCTTCCACATATAACAGATATGCCTGGATTCTGCCTCCTATAGATATGTCTACACGGAGCCTCATTTACCAGAAATAGCAACGAACACCAAACTCATTAGCGAATGTTAGCATGAGGCTTCTGTTCAATCGAAAGATATTCAGGTTCAAGTGTGCAGTGAACCCTTCCATGAAAGTCTTTGTATACAGGGACGACAAATTGTATCCTGCTGCTTCCTCCAAAGGGAAAATGCTAAAACCATTACTAGAGCTCTAACAATGAACTGTTTCTCTTCTACTGTGGAAGGTTTTTATTGTTTCCAAATCTTTTGCAACATCTGCACCGCAAAACTACATTTCATTACAATCCGTTTATTTTCATTTTGCCATTTTAGGATTCAAAATTGATCAACTATCATAAGTTACATTCAAAAAAATAATGTATAAGCTCCATGTGAATAGATCAGCATGCAGCATCAAGAAAGCAGGCATCAAGAAATTAATGTGGAGATTCAGCATGCAGCATCAAGAAAGCAGGCATCGATCAGCAACATCAGCTTTATTATTACATAGAAGTGAAACTGATTTGTAATAGAAATGCAAAGACTTGTAGCTCCTTTGCAAACACAGAAACTCCCTTCAACTGACAATCACAATCAAGGAATTCAAAATCAAGGAAATGAAATGCAGGTGACGTCAACAAAACGCAGTATTTAAAGAAATAAAATGCATTTGAGATCTGGTTAATAGAAGCATTCACATGAGCCTCACATAAAGGATCTAAAGGACATTATGACGTGTACTTCGTTGCACACAGTGTTTAAAAATCAGACCAGTGGGTCAAACCAGTCATCGACCAGTTCCGAGTCGGGTCAGCTGACTAGGCAATCTGACTCGGCCAACTAGCCCATTTTAAAAATATATATATATATATTTAATACAAATATTACTTGTCTTAAAATTTTAAACAAGGTTTAGAATACTCAAATCACTTTATAAACAATATATACATATATTAATACAAAAAAAAAAATTGGGGGAAATGTTCCAAGTCCCAATTCCATGGGGAACTCAGACTGGTCCCCACTGGTCCCGAGCCAACCCAGGGGGTTCTGAGTCGGCTTGCTGAATTTTGGAACCCTGGTTGTATAAAGCAGAACTAATAATACTGCTGTAACGAACATGTAGCTCATCAAGCATTCTATTAGCACCTGGACAAATGAACCTTCCTTTTTTCTCCAGTTTACACAGAATCATCGATTAGAAAGTTGCTCAATTTTCAATTGTACCAGAAAAGAGAGAGAAGATATCCAGATCTACACACCTTCAAAGTAAAAAACAAGTGCTCCTCATCAAGCACAGTAAGCAAACAAAGAGGCCAAAGAGCCAACAAGACAATATCCAGCGTTCTTTGTCCAGGGTAAGAGAAGTGAATATGCATTGCTGAAATAAGAGGGGTCCTTCAAATAACATGGAATCACAGGGTTGGGAAGGGGAGGAGGCACTGGTGCCCCTACGCCTAAACAGGGAAAAACTGGGAGAAGACAGGAACTCGGTGCCAGAGAGAAATGGTGAAGGGGAGGGAAGGAACTCTGAAAATAACTATTAAATAGGAAAGGAACTAAGAAAAGGGGCACAACAGTAAAATGATAGGGAAGTATTGAAGGAAAGGAAAGCAAGCCACAAGCAAAACTCGAGTAGAAGTACTGTTTGTCTGGAATAAAAGAGAAGATGAAACTTTTTGTCGCATGGGAACAAAGTTGGCCAATGAGGTAACATCCACATTCTTCATGTACTTGTTGCTTGACACATGATACTAGGTTTAAGTAAAACAATACAGTAACTAAAATGAGGAAAAGATGATCTTATAGTATTGTTAGGGTTTCTAAAGTTAATCCTAGGAACCTAAAATTTTAAAAAGTTATCCTTAAGAGTTCAACCTAGAACTTACTTCATCTATCTATGACTAATGATGGAGTATCAAAGATATGATGCGGGTAGCCTAAGGGCACAATTGTACTTGATAATACGAGATTTTATTTTTCGTTTGTTTTGGGAGATATATTATGATAGGAGCTCTAATCATTTGATGAACTTTTAGAACGTATTAAGAGCATATTCACCATAATTACCGAAGTAATGAGCATTCGAAGTTATATCAGCAAGTGGGCAACGGGTAGGGATGTTAAAAAGATGGAGAGAAGGGCCAAAGAAGAGCCCATGAGGGAAGTAATTTTGAAGGCAGTTCCAAGTGGTACAGAAGGAAATGGGAAACAAAGAATTTTGATAGAAACAAATTAGTAGAAGAGCTCAATAGGGAGGGGCAATAAGGCAAAGAGATGAAAGGTATTGGATGAAAAGGGGCAGGTTGTATGGGTGACAATTGACAAGGCATTATTGGTATGAGGTAGAGGTGTAGGTGCTTGATATAGTAGAAGCAAGTACAGACATGAGGGTTATGATGCCAGGTGTGTCTCAGAAATTCAATCTCTTGGAGAAGGTTGGAAGACTTCGCATTGGGGTATAATATATGAGATAATGTGCAAAAAATTTTCTTTCAGGGATGTGTTTCTGTTTCACAGGTAAGACATAAAGGAGGTTTTAGAATATACAGGCATACTCAATGAAGTGAATATTGATATTACACACACACACACACACGTTGGAATTTTGTAGCCATTCAAAGACCTTATGAGAGCATGTACTGAAAAACATATAGTGAAATGTTGGCTCCAATGGGAGTGTGGTCCACATTGGACTGTAAAGCATTTCTAATGCCTAGACACATCTGAGCATTGACTGGCTATGATTCAATGTGATGTCCAAAACCCTGTAGTCTTGCGCATGTGTGAACACAATGATAACAGTTTTCGATGTAGAGTTAACCCTTAGGGCGTGTTTGTTTTTCTGAAAGATATCTTATGGAAAGTTGAATGTTTTGTTCAAGAAGGCTTAAATAAGTTCTGAGTACTGTGTTTGATAATATATGCATATTAACCATATAAATATAAATATATAACATAATATAATATATAATATAATATATTTTATATATTTTATTAATGTACATTTGTATCATATATAACATAACATAACATTTAATATAATATAAGACATATTATATATGGGAGTGGATTCTGTACGCCCACTTGCTGACCGCTACAGTAAACGCCAATGGCCCAGATTGAATATGGGCCGATCTGACGATCATGGATGTCCGGTAGTGTTTGAATTTTAATTTTTTTTTCTACAAATCTAAATTACTTGAAATTTTAGG